GGTCCTAGCGAGCTCGCGAGAGTTCCGCTAACGAGGTCCAAATGCACTAACTGCGTTCGAGCCGTTCTACTCGAGCCCGACCCAACTTGTATTCGTCCACGAGACCTCGAAGCGGACGCGATGCGCTTCGACGCCATGTATGGCCCGGACACAGGGCGCCTCTACGTCGAGCTTTCCGTTCTCTCGTGGACAGCGCGTGTCAGTCCTCGCCGCCATGAGCTGCGAAGCTTTTGCGGATAGGAGCTCATCGGGGACACGCATAACTGAGCCAACAACACCATGATGACCAAGATCACTCCTCCGTTCTTGAACCCGTGGCTGAGGCCTCGCTCTACCTCAATCCTTGACAATGCGCTCATCCACATGTACGACAAGCTTAAAGGCGCAGCGCATGCAGAGGGAGCTACTGGTAGTAAGAACGACGATAGTGCAGGGCGCGTCCATCGTGAGCGCCATCATGCATGCCATCTTGATGGCTCTCACTGGCTCGAACTGGTCAAGCTCAAGCCTCGATTTACTCTCGCTATAAAACTACATATTTTTATATGCTGCATTTCCCAATAAGCCTGTTATACGTATAGGTCTAAATATAAATAAGACGATTTGGCTTTTAATTTTTGAATACACGCTTTTGATTGGCTTGTTTCATCAGGAGGAGTCCGATTTACGAGGCCAAGCTCCCAAAAGTATTTTTATTGCACCGTGCAGCTCATCCTCGATCTATCCGCCGCCTGCCTCGATTTAAAAATAAAACGAGCTCGATTAAGCGCCCTTAATCGAGGGGCATTCCGACTGAAATTTACAATAATAGTATAAAATAAGGCAAATGACTTCTCATAACACCAGCGTCCGCTCACACCGTCTTGGAATAGCAACGGTGGACGTTCATCAAGAGCCAGCAACTCAAAACTCAATTCGAGTTTCTGGCCGACATCCCGAGTCAACGGACGTGGTCACATACGATCATCAAAGTCATTTGTGATGTCAACTTTGAAAACAAAGTAGAACTGAACTGTACTGTAGAAAATGATCCTGTATAAGTACGGTCTTGCTCTTTCTACCGTAAATTTTACGTTGCTACGTCAAATGTTGCACGTTTCCTAGCGTAGATTTCATCGTATCCCATTGTTAGGCAAATGAGATAGCGCCATTTCTGCATGGCGCATAGAAATCCGCATAATATCAGGTGTTTCCGCATAAATCGGGGTATATGTACGGTAAATTTGACATGAGTAGCGTAACTTTGCGATTACACACTATAAAATGCAGTGTATCATACTATATATATTTAATTAAATAGTATACGCACTATCTTGGAAAATACAATTTAAAACCGGGACACGTGAGGGACAAGTGAGGTCCACAAACCGAAACCTAACGTTGAAAATAGGCTTTTCCGAGAGCTACCGTGTTCAGGCATGAAGCCCTTGCCTTGCAGCATGCAAACATCTACGAGTACATGCAGTTCACATGAAAGTAAATACTGTGTCCTTAGCCAGCCTTGATTCCCTTGTTAGCAGCTCTGTTGCAAGTAATATCCCTTCTCCGCGAATTCAAGTGAGCACC